TTTTCTTGGTCAAAGGCGCAGTCTATTTCAGTTTCTCAAAATAGCAACACTCCAACATTGCGCCTTAACACGCCTCCTTTATAAACCGGCACACCCATGAGTCCTCAAAGTAGCACAAATGGATTTGCTATTTAAACAATGTGGCGCAAAATGTGACAACTAGGGTTTGAAAATAGCAAAAAAAATCGGGCAAAATACACCTTGCGCCGGGTGTATGATAGGGCCCTTTATGTGTTTTAAAATACAAAATTTTGCAAAGTACTTACAGTTTTTTTTTTTTTAAATGATAATGCAAATCACTAGATATATATATATATATATATATATATATATATATATATATATATATATATATATATATATATATATATATATATATGTGTGTAATTATAGCTGTAATATAGTTATTAGTATTATTATTTCGTAATGCTGTATTACTTGAAGTATTTTTGCAACATGGGGAGAACATGCAAACTTCACACAGAAATGCCAACTGGCCCAGCTGGGACTTAAACCAGCGACCTTCTTGCTGCTAACCACTCAGCCACCGTGTCGCCTCACATGGGTTATTATGTATTTAATAAAACTTAAGCCAGCTCATTTTATTTACTTAAAATTAAACAAGCATTAATTGAAACTAATCAAAGTATTTTATTCCAGACAGTTGCAAATATTGAGGACAAGTAAATATTTCTCAACTCAGAAAATTATTATAAAAATGTCAAAAGCAAAATATGAATAAAATAAAACTTACTAAAATACAAAAAAAAAAAAAATTGCTAAAAGTTTATAAAAAACTATAAGCCATAATCTAAATCCACAACAGAATTTTTCATATGTCGTAGTAATAACTGATGCTGAATTACTTTTTTATTTATTATTTTACATTATTATTTCTTTTTGTTTCTTCATATTTCTGTTTGGCTTTATTTGTATTTCAGTTTTAATTAAAATTATCTTGCTAATTTTTTATTATTTTCATTTTCTATATATACACTTTATAGCAGATAATGAAAAACCTTTATATTTATTTATTTATTTATTTATTTATTTATTTATTTATTTATTTATTTATTTATATATATACTACTAATCAAAAGTTTGGGGTCAGTATTAAATGTTTTAAAATAAGCTTATCCTGCTCACCAAGGCTGCATTTATTTCATAACAAATACAGTTCAAATTGTAATTATAGCTGTAATATAGTATTTTGGATTGCTGTATTACTTAAAGTAATTTTAGTACTTTATCTCAGTTTGTTCCTGAAGCATCATTTACTCTTTTTACATTTGCATTTCTAGTTTTTATACTACATTTATATTCTTTTTTTAGCTTTATTTTATATAAATTGCAAGTCAAATCTTACGTCTTATCTTAGAAAATTATGCATATTTAACATTTAAAATTTTCTATTAAAGGTTTTCAAAAAAAGCCTAAAATTAAAGTTGATTTGTTATGCTATGGAAGATCACAGTACATTATATAGTGCATGAAGTAATTATTTAGCCTAAATCCAATGCAATGATACTAAACTAAAACAATCAGTGAGCGTAGAATGTACAAAAACTGATTTGAATAATCGTGTTATTTACTCTTTATTTGTTATTATTTCTGCTTTTCTGTGCTTAAAATGGTGCTTGCGTGCTTGCATCATCCAATACATTTCATCTGAATAACGTATTGTCCCTTTTCCTCCATTTAATCAAGGAAAGTCCCCTGAAACCTTGCCAGATGTGTGTATAACAGTGTGTTTAGATTCCTGCATGTGCTGTTTGCGTCCTCCTGTGGCCACATGCAGTGGTGCAGGAACTGTTTAAAGGGACAGTTTACACAAAATGTACAATTTACTCACTAATTACTCTGCATCAACCTTTATGAGTTTATTCAATCTGTTGAACAATATTTTGTAGAACGCTGAAAACCTGTAACCATTGAGTTGCATAGTAATGAAAACAAATACAATGGAAGTCAATGGTTACAGGTCAAAATATCTTCATTAATGTTTAAAGGATCTCACAAAGGTTTGAAAGAAGTAAAGTGTTCGTAAATGATGACAGAATTTGTATTTTTTGGGTGAGCTATCTTTTTAAATGACAAAAAGCCTCATATAGTACATACTTGATGATGCTTACCCTTTAAGTCACGGTAATAAACCTGAACTACAGGGAATACAGAGCAGTTGGATGATTGTGAAAAACTAGAAATATTCCAGAAGACCTTCGCCAAAGCTTTCATACAGTTTACACGGAAAGATTGACATTTATTTTGGATGATTGTGGAACATTTCTGCATTTTTGTGACCCACAGTGTTAGTAAGCATAACTATATGAAACAACATTCCTTCATTCATTTTTCTTCAGCCTAGTCTTTTATATACCACAGCGGAATGAACCGCCAACTATTTCAGCATATGCTTTACACAGCGGATGCCCTTCTAGCCACAACCCAGTACTGGAAAACAAACACACTCACACTCGAACACTTTGAGTTTCGAATTTAGTTCATCAGTTCCCCTATAGCGCATGTGTTTGTACTGTGGGGGAAACCGGAGCAGCCAGAGGAAACCCACGCCAACTCGGGGAGAACATGCAAACTCAAAACAGAAATGCCAACTGACCCAGCCGGGACTCAAACCAGTGACCTTCTTGCTGTGAGGCCACAGTGCTAACCACCAAGCCACCGTCCCGCCATTTGAAAGAACAATATTTCTAAAATATTGAGAGGGGTCTGGCTGCAGACCGGGTGCAGTGCAATCTGAGCTGCATCCAATGCTTTTTAATGTGCTCACCTAACCCCACCCCTAACCCTACCCCTCACAGTGACATCACTCGCTCCATTTGAGTGCATTGTGTCTGACATTGCATCGCTGAGCCATGCAATCTCAGCTCGTATCATAAAGGCTGCATCCAGATACTGTTGAAAATATTGGCAACACCCCTTCCTCTTTTCTTTGTTTTGGCTGTTTATTAGTACTTAGTACATAATCCTAAACCCAACTACTAACTTAATAACTGTTAAAGGGATAGTTCACCCAAAAAATGAACAGTTAATGTTGATTTACTCCGCAACAGCTCATACTTGTGACTTTTTTCTTAGAACTTTAAAGAAGATTTTGAGCTGATTCTCTTGTTCTTGGTGGTTCATATAATGGCAGTGAATGGTGAAAGGTTGTTTTAGATTAAACATAAAGGTATTACTTTTATTTGCTGGTCAGTTTAACGCTATATGTTGAATTTAAGTTACATCGCATCTGCATGCCAACTAATTCTCAATAGATTATAAGTAGACTGTTGGGTTGGGGTTAGTGTTGACATGCAAAGTCTCTTATAGTCAGTTAAATGTTTGTTGAAGGAGCAGAATCAGCAGATATTAAGCAGACAGCTTAGTAATACTGGCATGTAGTTGCAATGCAAATTTTAGTCAACAAAATGTGCAGTAGGGACCATCAAATTACAGTGTTACCAAAATGAACATACACAAAGGAGTAAATCAATAGACATGCCTACTGATTACACACTGAGGTCTTGTGAAGCTAAACGATTGCTCCGCGTAAGAAATGGAACATTAGAGGGCATGACTATTGATTGAGGGTGCCTTCACACCTAGGGCTCTATTTTGACGGTCTATGCGCAAAGCGCAGAGCGCAAACACTTTCAGGGCGTGTCAGAATGCATTTTTGCTAAAATAAGGATGGAAAATTCCGATTTGCGCCGTGGCGCATGGTCTAAAAGGGTTGAGCTTATTTTCTTAATTTTCTTAAAGTTATAGGTGTGTTTTGAGAATGAACCAATCAGAGTCTCATCTCTCATTCCCTTTAAGAGCCAGTTACGTCGAGCCATAACCATATTTGCTATTTACATGATGTAAAGTAAGTGTAAGTGGAAAAGCTGAGCATTTCACTAGCAAGAAAACAGTTAAACAGAGCATCTGCAGCACGAGAATGACAGATAAATGATCTACTTTCACTTTCGCTCTCGTAGATAGGGAAACCTTTACGCACAGACATCATTTAGCCTATAAATAATTAATTTCATTCGTTAAGCGTAAATATTTGTTTCAAAACTATTTCTAACTTCAGTTCTAGTTTTCAGCAAACGAATAAATTAACAATAATAACGAAGTGTGCTCAAAAACCTGAGTTATATCCTAAAACTCAACGCCTCAAAACAACTCTTGCGCCAAGCTGAAACTAGCAAAAAACTATTGCGTCGCGCCTTGCGCCACATTGCGCCGGTTGTATGATAGGGCCCCTAGACTTTTGGCATATGTGAATCCAGCAATTGGGCTCGGATCAGCACCAAAGCAATCGATCCGAGATCGCCTGAATAAAGTGGTCTCGACCCCAATTGAAACGAACTCTGGAGCCGATCGATTGTAGTGAAAGCAAAACGATCCAAGCCCGGCTATATCATAGTGTATTATGGATATGTAATAGGCGTGTATATACGGCTATATAAAGAGAAAATTATGAATAGTGCTGGATGTCATTCCTACTGGTAAATGTGCGTTTCATGCTAAATTCGAAGGTGAAAGCATGCTGAACTTTTAACGAGAGATTTTTATTCGTTAGGAACATTGACCGAGCTGCAGTCTAGCCAAGGGCTTTTTGTAAGAGGGTCTTGCCGCTGATTTATGTCTGTTGACGATGTCTGTGGGTGTCACCATTCAAAATTAAAACGCAGCGTTCTGCTTATAATGTCTTATTGCCCATCGCCATTTATTAAAATAAGGACGCATGACAGCTGAGTGGGACTCTGCAAAATAAACCATGAAACTCTGACCAATGTAAGCAGAGTTAACTCACGCTTGACTTGTAGCTCTTTTGGTCCGTTTAGAAACTTTGCAGTGTGAAAGCGAACCGCTCCAAGAGCAAAGAGTATTAATGTAACTATTTTAATCCCTGTTTCAGAATACATGAATCTATTCACAGGTGTGAAAGCACCCTAAGTCTCATTTTTCGTTGTTGTTGTTGTTGTAATTTATTATTTTTTGTAACTTAGAATAAAGTGTGCTCAAATCAAGAAAAAAGAAATTCACAAGTGTGCTCTGGTTCTCCAGCAATTCGAGAACTGGCGTGATGGTCAGCCGGACAGCTTCTTCTCCACCGGTGAGGACTGTGTGGTCATGATCTGGCATGAGAGCGGACAGTGGAACGATGTGCCCTGCAACTACCACCTGACCTTCACCTGTAAGAAGGGCACAGGTGAGACAGCGCTTTATTTATTTCATTTCTTTATTGTTTTTGACTATAGGTGTGTTCCAAATTGCATACTTATACGCACTATTCCACACCATTTTGAAGTATAAGTAGTGCATTCAGACTGAAAACTTAAACAAAAAAAAAAAAGAATAAGTACCCTTTAAATACCTGGATGATGCACTTATTCAACTAATAAATAGAAGTGAGCTTTGCAGAAGTGGAGGAGGTTTCAGCCGCTAAGCTGAAGGGAAGGAGCTATAGGCCACTAAACTAAATAAACTAAACTGAACATATCCTGAACATTGCCAGAACATAACCTGAAGATAATTGAATTGAACACAACCAGAACATATCCTGAAAGTAAGCAGAACATAACCTAACAATATTATGAACATAAACTGAACATAACCAGAACATAACCTGAACATAACCAGAACATAAACTGAACATAACCAGAACATAACCTGAACATAACCAGAACACAACCTGAACATAAACAGAACATAACCTGAACATAACCTGAACATAACCAAAACATAACATGAACATAACCAGAACATCATCTGCAAGTAACGTGAACATAAACTGATCCTAACC